CCTTCCACAGTGGTTGCACCATTTTACACTCCCACCAACAGTGAATAAGGGTTGCAGTTTCTCCACAACCTCGCCAACATTTGTTGCTTGCTGTTCTGTTAAATTTTGCTATTCTGTCTGGGGTGAGATGATATCTCATAGTTGTGTTTGCTTTTTTTTAAAAGGATAGGCATATGACCAAGATGACTTGCCAAGTGCCTACATGCAGAGAAATCTTACTTGCAAATACACCTTTCCATTTCCCTACCTGTAGGTCCCAAAGCCCAGAAGAGTAGTGCCACAAATGACTCAAATAAGCCATGCCCTGGTTCTCCCTCCCCTCAACTGCTCCATACCTTGAGTCGCAAGCAGTGGCGGAACCGGCAGAAGAACAAGCGGCGACACAAAAACAAGTTTCGGCCACCTGAACTACCAGCCCAGGTTCCAGCCCCCACAGAGGAGACTGAGGTGCCTCCTACCCCTCGGCCAGATAGCCTCAAGGCTCGTGCAGAGGCCCTGCGAGCCCGCATGGCACAACGGCTGGATGGTGCCCGATTTCGCTACCTCAATGAACAGTTGTACACACAGCCCAGCAGTGCTGCACAGCATCTCTTCCAGGAAGACCCAGAGGCCTTTCTCCTCTATCACCGTGGCTTCCAGAGCCAGGTCAAGAAGTGGCCACTGCAGCCTGTGGACCGAATCATTAAGGATCTTCGCCATCGGTAATAGAGGGTGGGCACTCTGAGGAGCAATGCAGGTTGGTCTTGGAACTCTGACTAGACCAGAAAACGACCCTTTTCTCCTACTCCTAGGCCTGCATCCCTGGTAGTGGCTGACTTTGGCTGTGGGGACTGCCGCCTGGCTTCAAGCATCCGAAACACTGTACACTGCTTTGATTTGGCTTCTCTGGATCCCAGAGTCACTGTGTGTGACATGGCACAGGTATCCTCTGTGGAATCAGGCTTGTGTTCTAGGTCTTTGTACTCATCTCTCTAAACTCCTCCTGCTTCTCTCTTCCCCTTCCAAGTGCCCAGCTGTAGTCCTTAGCATTGTCTTTCTCCTCCAGCCCACATTAGGTTTATGTGCCTAGCTGTGTGCATCATATAATAGTCCTTTCTGCAGGTGCCACTGGAAGATGAGTCTGTGGATGTGGCTGTGTTCTGCCTGTCATTGATGGGAACTAACATCAGGGATTTCCTAGTGGAGGCAAATCGGGTACTTAAGCCAGGGTAAGAACCTCCTTTGAACACAGAAACATGTATGTGTGTGCAAACATGTCTGTGCGTTAACATGGAAATTTCCAATCTTCTCAGGGGTCTTCTTAAATTGGCTGAAGTCAGCAGCCGATTTGAAGATATTCGGGCCTTTTTGAGTGCTGTGTCCAAGTTGGGTTTTAAGAGCATCTCCAAGGTGAGTGCCTCAGGGAGTCTGTTTCTACTGTGTGACTCTTTTCAGTGGAATCTCCACCATTCAGTGGAGGAGATCCTCACAGGAACATCATTTGCACTCTGAAGGCATAACTCGTGGGAAGGTCCTGGGAAGCTTTCTGAACAGAGGCAGGAAAGGAGGGAGGCATTTTTAGCAGCTAAGCTGAGAATTGGGAGTTGACTGGGTCTTTTTTGCCTCTAGGACCTGACCAACAGCCACTTCTTTTTGTTTGACTTCCAAAAGACTGGACCCCCTCGAGTGGGGCCCAAAGCCGAACTCTCAGGCCTGAAGCTTCAACCATGTCTCTACAAGCGCAGGTGACCCTAGACCTCCCTTGAAAGAGGAGGCAGAATACGAACTCTTGACTTAGAACTGTGAAGATTTAGCCAGGCAAGCTGTGAGCCAGGACCAGGACCTGGTGCCACCCTATTTCATCCAAAGAACAAAATGTGTTAACAGCCCTGCCTATGCACTGATATAATAAAGGTTGAAAGAAACACTGAGTCACTCGGACTAACCAAAGACAGGGTTTATTCTGAGAATGTGGACATGTCTAGGAATTAAGGATCTCCTTAGATTTCGTGGAAACTAGATCATTTGAAACTTGGCATCTCTAGGTTGAGCATCTCTTTGTCTCTCAGGAGCCATGTAGGCTTTCTGTCTGACTGTATCCAAACTTCCATTTAGATATTCTCTAAAACCAGCTCCTCTGGTCATTCATAACTTTGGCTCCTTCAGCTTTGGTCTGATTAGGCTTTTAAGGCTGCAGACAGGCCAATATTGCATCTTATCTCTGAGACACCTGTTAGCCCCCCAATATCCTGACTAAATTCTTTAATGTGGCCTTCTGGGTGAATGCAGGCTGTCTCCACAGCTGTGTGGTGGTGGGTCAAGATTGCCTGGATGTTCCCTGTCCTCTGTTCTTCTACTGGTTTATCCATCTACTTTACCATCATCTCCAATTTGGGAGCCAAATGAACCAAACCACACCCAACACCTATTTTTTTATGGGCCTCGATGGGGATGGAATGGGGGTGAGGAGGCATGCTGTTTTGCATCCAGGTAGACGAGGGCTTTTAAGCCTACCACTTAAAGCAGGGAGTAATTTCTTTTCAAATGTCAAGTTCCTCATTTAGAAAAATGATGAGATCTCCATTGCAGGCTTTTGTGAGTTACTGAGGAAATCTGTAGCCTGGGCTGGGAACATAGGACCAACACAGTAAACCCTAACTAAGGATGTCATGTACTGTAAATATCCATGTTTTCCCTAGTCAGGACCGGAGGTTAAGGAGTAAAGAATGGATTTGTTGCCTGAGGAATACTCTGGGAGTGTTCAGAATGAACCTTTCAGCAGTCTTGATTCAGAAAATATTTAGAGAACTTTATTGAATTCTGAATTGTCTTTGGAGGGGATTTATAGGGAACTGCGATCTTACTGGTTGATGCCTTATTATTTGGATTAGGATGGTGAGCTATTCATCGGCAGAAGAGTTTATTTCTTCTCAGGACAGCACATCATGGGAAAGCTTTGGGCAAAGGATGCTATTGCTTGGGGTGAGTTGTATGGTAAATAGCTACTTCTTACATGGCTTCAAAAGTGAGAACTGATAGTAGCCATTGGCAAGACATAGCTTGTAGGGCCCTGAGCCAGTAGATACCTTGAGTAAACAGGTAAATGTTTTGGGGCAAAGACAGTGGACATGTCTAGAGGCTGAGTTGTAAACTAGGCAGACAATATACATGTTCTGTGTACTGTAACACAGCCAATTCTTCATAGTAAAGTCACTGACCACCAGATTATTTGAATCATTGCTTCTAAGAAACACAGGGTCAGGTTCCTGTAGAACTCGAGTCTCATTTCTGTTTTATTAAACAACCTGGTACTATATGAAACATAACCTTTTTTTAAATAATGAATTTTTATTTAAAGATATTTATGGGTAAAGGGAAAGGAAATGTACAATAAGAACTTGATTTGATATTATAATTAATAACTTGTAAATCAAAATGTCTATGGATGACTATATGAAAAACCAATATGACTTGTAAACCTTCACTCAAATAAAAATTAAAAACAAACAAGATACCTTCTTTAGCTATGGGAACGATGGCAGTGTGTTGCAGTCTGTAGTCTACTGGGCTGCTAAAGGGCAGTAGGCTCTGGCAGTTTGAGTCTACCAGTGACTCAGTAGGAGAGAGTTGGGCAGTCTCTTCTTGTTAAGACTTTAAGCCTCACAAAACCAAGGAAGGGTCACTATGAGTTGGAATTGACTCAATGTCAGTGAGCTTGTTTCTTAGTTTTGTTTAACATATTATTGAGCAGGGATTACAGATGTTGTTATGTGCCGTTGAATCTCCTGCGACTCATAGCAGCCCGATGTGCAACAGCCCTAAACCCTGCTCTATCCTGTGCCAATCTTAGTGTTTCTGATACACCTGCCCCCATTACCCCAGTCACTGAATCGATCCATCTCATCGAGGATCTTCCCCTCCTATGCTGTCCCTCCACCATCCCAAGCGTGACTTCCCTTTCCAAGAACTGGTCCCTTCTTTCAGCATGTCCAAAGTACATCAGACGAAACTTCAGAATCCTTACCTCCAAGGAGCAGCCTGGTTTCACCCTCTCGAGGCTGAACCTTTTTGTTCTCTTAGCAGTCCGTGGTATATTCAATACTCTTTTCTATCATGACAGCTCAAAGGCACCAATTCTCCTTCTATCATCCTTAGCCATTGTCCAGCTCTCTGCTGCATAGCAAGTGATTACAAAGACCATGGTCTGGATCAGGCCCACCTTAATCTCCTGAGTGACATCATTTCTCTTCCATACTTTGGCAAGATCTCTGACAGCAGACTTTCCCAGTACAATTTGTCTTTTAATTTCCTGGCTGCTGATACCTAGAGTGTTGATTTTGGAGCCAAGCAAACTAAAGCTGTTAACAGTGTCAGTCTCTACCATTTATCATGCCTCCTCAATAGCAATAGAGGTCAGGATTTACAACATATAAGGTAATCACATAATACTGGAAATCAAGTCCTAGCCAAGTCCACACCTATTTGGGGTGGGGTGGGGTAATAAAATGAGTGACATCTATGAATGAACTTAAGAATGCCATGAATACTGAGTTTTGAGTGTTAACAAGTATTAAGGAACCCTGGTGAAACTGGTTACACTGCAAACCATTGGATGCTAGCATTAAGTTCTGTGATGTGAACGCACCAGCCACTCAGAGGAAGAAAGTACCTACTGATTTGCTCTCATAAAAATTCCAGACTAGGAAACTATGAGGTCAGTACTGCTCTATCCTGTATGGTCACTATGAGTTGGGAAGGACTCAGAAGCACACCATAGATAATTTTAAAATACAGACTTCATGAATAAGGTACAATAACTGTCTGACTGGCAAAATTTTACATATCCTTCAGGCTAGTTTTTTTCTTATATTTCCAGCAAAATTCATTTCTTCATCTGATCTCTTAAAGTACTATGTGAAGAGTGTTCCTTCAACATTTAAATACTGTGTGGTTGCTTTGTGCATTGGACAGTATCTAGTACCTCACTCATTGTTTCCAGAGGTTATGCACTTGTTCATCTAAGGAAGGGGTGGTTCTAGTTGATGATTGCCGTCCAGTCTAAGACCTAAAGATTTTCTATAATCAGTTATCAAAATTTATAGAGTTTCCAGAGGCATGTTTAGAAAGTGGATGCCACTCCTGCTTCCAAAAGGAAGGGGTAGGAGGAGATAAAGAATGAGAAGGTCTGGCTGAATGGAATTGAGGAGCGCACAGGTCTTACAAGAATTCAGCCCAAGATGAGGGCACTATGGAATGGTGGCAATGGAAGAAGAGGGTGGACAGATGAATATTAGTAGATAGAATTGATGAGACATTGAAGGTGAGTTGGAGAGAAAAGAATTTGAAGTAAGTTCCAGGCATCTGGCTTGAGCAACTAGATGAGCTGGTAATGACACTGGGATTTAGATGCCTTTGTGAAGGTTCATTTGGGAATAGGACATACAGATCCCAGGAGAAAACTGTGGTAGGAATTTGGGTGTTAGTAGCCTAATGGTGATAATTAAAATCACAGGAGTAGATGAGGTACTGAGGGTAAGATAATGTGAAGAAGATACAAGGCTCAAAATAGAACTCTGAGGAACATTTAATGGATGGGTAAAAGAAAACAAAACTGTCAAGTGAAGAAAGGTTAGAGGCCAGAGTAAGAGGAGGTTATTTTAAATAGAATGCAGAGGCTGTCAGCCGTGAAATACTGTCAGAAAGATTAAATGAGAAAGAAAGAAAAACTGCAGGATGATGAGGATTGCTGAGTAATGTTGAGGGCCTTCTTGAATTCATGATAGTATTGTTTGTAGATTTATAGTTCTTTTAATCAGTTCCGTGGATGTGGTTTTCTCTGCCTTCTCAGGAATCTAAATGGACCTGTGGAGGAGGTGAGCACTAAGAGATCATCCAGAGTTGGGATGAAAGAAGGAGTAAAGGCATTTCAGGTAATTAGAAAAGTGATTGCTCTGGTGGACTCTGACATTTGTAGAACAGGTAGGAATGTGAGGACAGGAGGAGGTTGTGACATGGAGGTAATTGAACAGGTAATCTGGGAGGATGGGAAGTTATGGTCAGAAATTGAAACACTTCTCAATTTTGGAAGCAAAGTGGCTCCTGCAATAGCCAACTCCAGGGTGTAAACGTGAAGGTTAGTGAGAGACATTAAAGGGAAGGGAGTTTGGCAACTCGATGATGGCTAAGGGGTCAGATACTTAGGAAAGGGTCATCTGCTTGTTCTTCAGCTGATGACAGTAGTCAAGCAGGAAGGCAGGTGGACAGCATGTTGAGGGAGATAGGAAGGCAGGTCCAGGAGATCTGCAGACAAAGGAAAAGAGAAGATGGTGTGGGATGTTTCAGTAGAGCAGAGACTTTTGCATAACCTGCTGGAGGAACTCATTTGGTGAGTGATGTGAGGTCAGTGTGTGGAAGCAGGCATCCAGAGTAAAATGTCCTGACAGTCCTCTTCAACCTGTCATGATTCAGCAGAGAGACAAAGGAGAGGCAGTCCACCAAGTCCAAGGATGCGTTGAAGTAGCAAAGTTCTCACTATGAGACTCTTCTTTCTTTTGTTTTTCAAAATTTTATTTTTTTCTTTTGTTATGATTCCATTGAAAGTTTACTAATCGTATTTTTATTCATTCATAGACATTTTGCTTTATAGCATTGATTACACTTAATTAGTTACTATTTGATCAGCTCCTTATTGTCCGTTGGCATTCCCTTTACCCAACTTAATGTCTATTATCTGTTTATTATTATTTACT